CATGTTCTCACTCATATAATGGACCTTGAACATCCAATGTAATACTATAAGAAAATGACTGACGGTACTGGGAAACTATGTGGGGGGAGGGAGATGGGATTAACAGTAGCAAATATCTGTGTGGGGATATCAACAGGGTGCCTGAATGAAACGTAATTGTACACCTAACCCTTAACTGTACCCCACAAAACCATAATAAAAAATATTGATTATGAAAAAAAAATCTATCTATCTATCTATCTATCTATCTATCTATCTATCTATCTAATCCAATCCAGTGAATGGAGCATTAAGGATTCTGGTGAGTGCCCAGAAGAAGGGGAGAGCTATAGGGAGAACATAAATCCTCTCAGCGGTTACTTAAGTGGTCCACGATCAGAATATGGGTAGAAGTATAGGCGAAAGGCAATTCTGAGATTTTGAGTGTAAATGAGGAACAAGGCACAGGAAACTGGAGGAAAGGTCACCCTTGTTTCAAAGTGGCAAAGAACCTGGTTGAATGGTATCCGTGTCCTCGTACTTTGTGAATGGCAGAACTTAAAAACAATGAACTACGATATTTGGAGGAAGACATCTCTGAGCACAGTATTAGGGAATAGCATGGCTTCTCTTGACTGCTTATAGTAAAATGTGGGAAGAGAGAAATGAATTAAAGATGGAGTTTGTAATCAAAAAGGAAGCAGAGCTTAAAGATTTGGCAAAATTTTCAGCTTGGCCACACCAAGAATGGAAAAGTGTGCTTGAATGAGAACACCAAGGATATGATCAAGTTGATGCTTAATAAGGAGAATTCTATGACTAGAAGAAATCCCAATGTTCTTCAACAGAACAGTGGAAGAATGACCCTCAAACTGTTTCAGAGATTATCGGTGCTGCCACTACTGTCGTAGACCCTGAGTGCCAGGACTCTGTGGGCATAAAGGTTTTAAGAGAGGGACTCAGGGAACCATCGACATTTGGGACTTGCTACCCTGGGTCACCCCAGTTCTCTGCTCCCCACATTCTGGTGAACTGTTCCTTGGCCACCCCAGGTGTGGTTCATGCAGGCCCAGGTGCAACCTGGGTCTCCTTTCCCACAAGCCTTGGCAGCATCCACGTGGTGCTAACTCTGCAGGTGCAGATAATGCATGAACTGTGGAGGCACAGCTACCTTCATTCAGATTTCAAAGGATGTCTCCAAGAGCCTGGTGGCCCAGGCAGGGAACTGCGACACTGTCACAGGGGGAGCTGCCACAGAAAGCCTTCCGTAGAGCAATGCTTAGTGCAGCTGTGGTGTCAGGGCCAATACAGAGTCCCCGCTAGGGTAATGTCTAGTGGGGCTAAGGGGGCAGGGCTTTCCTGAGAACCCAGAACTGTAGAGCCACCAGTGTGCAACTCCAGCCTGGGAGAGCCTAGACTTTCACCTGTGAGAGCTCGGTGTAGGTTGCACCTGAAGCCTTGGGGACCCAACCCCCAACAACCCCAGAAGGTGGGACAGGGCATCAAAGAAGATTATTCTCAAGCCTCAAGATTTAGTGTTGTTTGCCTTGTGGGTTTTGAACTTATTTGGGATCTGTTATCCCTTTCTTCTTTCTTATTGCTTACTCTTGGAATGAGAATGCTTATCCTGTGACTGGCCTGCCACTGCATTTTGGAAGTAGGTACCAGCTGATTTCACAGGCTACCAGCTGAAGGAGAATTTCCTCAGGATGAATCGTATCTCAAGTATCACCCACTTCTGGTCTAGATGATATTTAGATGAGACTTTGGACTCAGGCTTTACACTTGATGCTGAAATTACTTAAGACTTGTGGGGGATATTGGGATAGAATGTAGGTATTTTGTATGTGAGAAGGACATGAATGTTGAGGGGCCAGTGGTAGAATGCTATGCTTTGAGTGTGTCCCCTCCAAAATTCATGTTGAAACAACCCCCAATGCAATATTAAGAGATGTGGCCTTTAGGAGGTGATAAGGTCATGAGGTCACCTCCCTCATGAATGGGATTAGGGCCTTTATAGAATAGGTTTCACATGGTGTTTGGCCACTTTTTAACATTCCACCTCCCAACATTGAGGATGCACAACAAAGTGGCATCTTGGAAGCACAGAGCAAGTGTTTGCAACCGGTCCTATTTTCTTATCCCGGAGTCCCCAAACCTGGCCCCCCCCCCATTACCACGGAAAGCTCCCTAGGGTTTGGAGTGTATAGATGGGACTCAAAACGGTATCATTTACCCTCTAACAGGTAACACACCTTTTTAACACACCTTATTAAGAAGTAGCTTTTCAAGTCCTTGCCAGGGATTTGGGAAGAGGCCTAGAACCGAGAGAGGTGCTGATCCCCGGGAGGGCACGCGTGGATTCCGCGCTCACCTCTGCTTCTACTTAGCCAGCCCCAGCCGCTCTGAGTCCTCGGCAGACAGCCGCGAAAGGGCCGCCCCGCCCCCGCTGCCTTCCTGGTGACACGCCCCTTCCGCAGGCTATAAGGGCCAGGCTCTGGGCGTTTCCTCCCAGACTTCGCCCAGCCCAGACCCTGAGATCTCACGTCTGTGCAGCGGGTAAGGCTGGGACCCACTGGGAGGTGGCGCGGGGAAGAGTTCAGCCCGCCCCCCACCCCGCGCAGCCCCCAGCTCAGCACCGCTCCGGGCACCGGCCGGGCGGCACCGCCGCTCCTTGCACGCCCCCCCCCGGCCCCCACTCTTCTTGAGCCCCGCCTGAAAGGGACGACCCCGGACACTTCCCCTCTACAAGGGTGCAAGGCCAGGTCTGCCAGCGAGGGAAGGAGAGAGGACTACGGATGCGGGAGGAAGGCACGACCTAAACCCCCGATCAGAATGTTTTTCTTTCTCCTCAAATTCCCTTCTCCGAGCTGTTGGTGATAGTTTCCCGGCAGCCCAGGCCGAGCCGCTTCTCCTTTCTGAAGGCACAGAGAGGGAAAGGAGGAAGCGGGCGCCACCACAGGTTGCTTAACAACTCTTAAGAATTCGACTTTGCGCCTACACTCCGAGAGCACCTAGCGCAACTCCTCTTCTTTGCCCGTCCTTCGGGAAGTTAAGACTCTGAAAGTATAGATCCAGATGGGTTAGGGTTAGTGGGTAGCAGGACGGTGATGCTGTAGTTTGCAGGAATGCTGATCCTCGTCCCTGGGATGTTTTGGGGTTTCAAACTGGCATACACCTGCTCTGAGATTCTGGACACTGGCTTCTTAAACATTAGGGATGGAATCTCAAAAAAATGAGGGTCATTGTATTCCAAATTACAATCATATTTTTGCTGGAATTTCATTTTAATGCATAGTAGGTAGTTATGGTTTTCTGAGATAAATGTTCCTAGTTCAGGTAAATGTAGGCAATGTATTTATTGCCCAAATGAGTCAGACTGAACCAGAGTCAGAAATGTGTGTACTCCCAAACTTGGTAGGTTGGAACTGCCAGGGACTGGGCAGCTTTGCCAGTCCTGTCTTGGCTCTGGCTCAGGCCCTAGACTCACCGCCTGCAAAGTCAGAGCCCTTTAGGACACTCTGGGTTCTGATCCTGTGTTTCCACTGACTCCTTGGCCAGCCTAGGCTCACATTTGTGTGCATGGGGAAAGCGTTCTTGCCCTGCCGGGAGGGGTGGGGGCGGGAAGAGGGAGCAAGTACAAGATCCAGGGCTTTGCAGGGTGGTTGGCACAATTGAAGAGGATGCTGGGGAAATGGTGCTACCTGCCCTGCTGGAGTGGGCAGTCGGCACCATGGAACCTCTGTTCTCTTTGCAGCCTTCGCCATGGAGCAGTTGAGCACAGCAAATACCCACTTTGCCTTGGACTTGTTCCGGGCCTTGAATGAAAACAACCCGGCTGGAAACATCTTCATCTCTCCCTTCAGCATTTCCTCAGCGATGGCCATGATCTTTCTGGGGACCAGGAGCAACACTGCCTCACAACTGTCCAAGGTCAGTAGAAACAAGCAAAAGAGGGCTGTTTTCCTTGCTGTCTCCCTGCTAAGGGATAGGCTATAGGAGAAAGCTTTGCCTGTGAGCCCTTACAGTATTATAAAACTGTATTTCTATGTTCAACAACTGTACTATGAGGTCAGACTTTCAGAAAAGTCCCAAGAACAATCCATTTGTATGCAGGCTTTTATTCATCTTCAAGTCTTTACTGAGTACCCACTGTGTTCCAGGCACTGTTTTTTGTTTTACTGAGGATAGGGCAGCAGACAAAACTGATAAAAATCCCTGCAGGGCGATGCTTTTCACCCTGAATGAATCAGACGGCTTTTCTGGAAGCCACACCATGGCCTCCTGAGCGAGTAGCTTCCAGATTTGGCTTTGCATATGATGATCTTTGCATGGCTGATTCATAAAAGATGCCTGTTTTGTAACATTACTTTCTAGCAAAATGACAGTAATGAGACATAGGGAATGCACTACAGTAGAGATGTTGATATTACCTTTTTGAGGGGACAAGGAATAAGCAACCATGTAGTTCTGTATTTCCAGGGCCAGACCTGTGTCTGGTGCTGCATGTGGCTCGATGGGCTGTGTTGGAGCAGGTCCTGCCGGGAGGGTAGGAGAGGGAGTTTCAGCAGCTTTGGGAACAGGACCCAGTCCTTGGTGATGCGGCAGCCCAACCTTCCTGCCCATCCTTAATGGGCACAAAGGGGACTTCCATGCTTTGTGCTCTTTAATTCTGAGATGGGAACTCTAGCTTTCTCTTGAAGCCCAGCAGAAGGAGCGATAAAACTTACATTACACAGAAATATAAGCTTTTAGAACAATTTCTGTTGCTTTTAAGGATTTTTAGAAAATCATTTCTGTATGTGATAGGAGTTACTCATGATATTTTTTTAAAAACAGGAATTCTTGGCTTCAGCTCAAAAACTGTATGGTGCTAATTTGGCCAGTGTGGATTTTCAGCATGCCTCTGAAGACACAAGGAGGCTTGTCTAACACACCTGCCACAAATTACACTGCATCTGTTCCTCGGGAAGGTGCAACCCTGGAGTCAAGTTCAAGAGGCTACAAAGCTTATATTACTCATCACTGCAGATATGAAAGTATTTTAAAGTTTAAAAAAATCCACTTTTTAAAAAAACCACTGTTACCAATTTTTAGTTGCTTCTTGTGGACTATATCAGCTCCTATTTTGAGGTTTTTCAGGGACTTTATAACCTCAGCAAAGAGTTTTTTTTTTTTTGAGTTGGAGTCTCACTCAGACGCCCAGACTGAAGTGCAGTGGCCGCTCCCAGCCACCACAGCCTCTACTTGCTGGGCTCCGGGGATCCTTCCGCCTCAGCCTTCTAAGTAGCCTTCTAAGTACAGGCACATGCTACCACATCCGGCTAATTTTTTGATTTATTGTAGAGATGAGGTCTCACCAAGTTGCCCAGGCGGGTCTCGAACCCGCGGCCTCAGGCAGTCCACTCACCTCAGCCTCCCAAAGGCGCGGGATTACAGGCTGAGCCACAGAGCCCGGCTAGCAAAGAATATTTTTAAGAGTTTTCCCCTCCCCCCCCAGTTCCGTTGAAGCAGAGGGATCATAGTAACTACACAAACATTTCCATATCTCAGTGAGTAATGCAGACTTTGTATTCTGTATAGTTTTGTTCTTTATATCTTAATAACAAGGAACCAGCCCAGGCCTCATAAAACCATAAAGGGTCTCTTGACTTGTAATTGATCTATGGGGAATTAAATTTTTGCTGGAATGTTACACTTAAGGAAATTATTATAAAATAAGTAAATTATTGATGCCATAGAGTAATACAAGAGTAAAAGCCTCAATCTATAAGGTCTTTGTGGTCTTGCATTGGGGATGATTCTTATTTGTATTGCTTATTTCTGAGAACTTTCAGTAAAATTATGTTTGATACAGAATTTAAAAATAAACCTACCATTTCTGATTTTCTTTGGAAAAAAATTAGACATATAAGTATGCATTAGTCACTCACATTTGTAGAACTATAATTATAACCAAAAAGTGATGTAAAAGCAGTTTCTAATGTTGTAATTATTATGTATTACAAAGCCATCAAATTTTGGATTTCCTGTTGTTTGCAAATTAATGAAATATTGGACTAGAGATCATCAGTAATTAGTAATAAAAACATATTAATTTAGTTTGATAGATACAAATACCAAAGGATCACTTTATAATTTCAAAATAAATGGTTACAGAAAAATGTTTTCTTTATTTTAGGCTTTCCATTTCGACACAGTTGAAGAGATTCATTCAAAATTTCAGAGTCTGAATGCTGATATCAACAAACGTGGAGCATCCTATATTCTGAAACTTGCTAATAGATTATATGGAGAGAAAACCTATAATTTCCTCCCCGTAAGTATTTGCACTTCGTATTCTAAAACTCTGCTAGATAGTGCAGATATTTTCCAGTACAATAAAATCATACATGTCAGTTTTAATATGTATAAACATTCAGAAAAGTCACACAGAAAGCAAACATTTGACAGACAGGGCTCCCATCAATTTTGTGGTGCTTTTGCCATAGTCTTTCCAGTGAAAAGTTCGCTCCTGAAGGTGTTAATAAAGCAAGAGTGAGTCTCATGATTAACTTCCAAGTACAATCAATATTTGCTTATTTTTGAAAATGTTAGTCAAAGGTTAGAAAAGAATTGGTAAATTTTATATTATACCAAAAGTATAAGGGTTAGACTTACTGCTTTGAAATGTACGCTTAAAAATGGTTAAGATAGTAAATTTAATGTTAAATGGTTTTTACCACAATAAAAAATGTATAAGGGTTAGAGTTTTTTGTGTTACACTGAAGTGTAGCCTTTAGGACAATTTCTGTTGTTTTTAAGGATTTTTAGAAAACCTGTATGTGATAGGAGTTACTCATGACAGTTTTTTAAAAACAGGAGTTCTTGGCTTCAACTCAGAAACTGTATGGTGCTGACTTGGCCAGTGTGGATTTTCAGCATGCCTCTGAAGACGCAAGGAAGGCCATAAACCAGTGGGTCAGAGGACAGACAGAAGGTAGGGAAGAGGGCGGATGGGATTGTTATGCGCTACTCTTCTCTGTCTACCTTGCCTACCTGTGGGTTATTCTCTCTCCCCCATCAAATCTCGCCCACACACATTTGCAATCAGAGGGTGTTCCTTGGATATGAACTCTGCACTGAACGTTACCGAACAGCTTAAAAGCTTCTAACCCTTAAAAGGGTTAGAAATTCACCAACGTGGAAACAAACATGATTAACTGAAGCAGCTAAACACCTTTTTCCCCTAAGCTCCCCAGACCACATTTTAAAGTTAAAACCAACATTGAATGTAGAATAAAAGGAATAAAAATATTGAGGAGAAGCCAGCTTGCCAAAAATTATGTAATACACATATGGAAAGAAATGTCCTGGAATTTTATGTAATCAGTATTCACAAATTGCTGTGGTCATAAATAATTTTTGCCATTATCTTGTCTAGTAAATTAGGCATGGTAGATGTGGAATTACTCACTCTTAGAGTCCAATTTATTTATTTACTACACTTATCTTCTTACATAGTCACCATATGAGTCAACACACTTCCAGAATGCCTGTCTTCCAGATCAGGAATTGTTCCTGGATGTATTTATGGTTACCACAGTGACCTCTGTTCCAAAGGAGTAATTGCCCTGCCTTTTGGATATTTGTTAAAGTCTTTTTTGGGAGAGTAGACATCTGCTCAGTAATTTGAGGAAGTGATATACTTGTAACTAAAAACATCTTTGTTAAATATTTTTTCCCCCAAAAGATGGTAATTACAAAATGCTTCATTATTTATCACATAATCCAGAAAAGAAGAATTTTCCTGTCTTTAGGTTTGTAGCACATTTGGCTTGTTTTAAAGTCTTGGTTCCTTTGGAATAGCTTGTGTGTCATCCTGGTCTGCCTCACAAGTTGATTTATTTAAAGAAGAGATATGCCAGTAGGACTTTCCTAACTTAATATCATGTTAACTGAAAATTAAGTAGAAAGTTTACATTTGAATTGCATTTCAGTGCTAATAAATTACCTGTTCAAATTTGGAATTCCAATATGAATTTTTTAAAGCTTACTTTATTTTTTTTAAGGGAAAATTCCGGAACTGTTGGCTGCAGGAGTGGTTGATAACATGACTAAACTTGTGCTGGTGAATGCCATCTATTTCAAGGGAAACTGGCAGCAGCAATTCATGAAGGAGGCCACGTCCAATGCACCATTCAGATTGAATAAGGTGAGGTGAGGTGAGGTAACAGAGCAAAATCATGCAGTGCGCTATAAGAATGTAAAGAATAATTTCAGAGTTTTTTTTTTAAACTCTTTAGAAAGACAAGAAAACAGTGAAAATGATGCATCAGAAGAAAAAATTTCCATATGGCTACATCCAGGACCTTAAGTGCCGTGTGCTAGAACTGCCTTACCAAGGCAAGGAACTCAGCATGTTCATCCTGCTGCCAGATGACATCGAGGACGAGTCCACGGGGCTGAAGAAGGTAGTAACTCCCAGGCTTCTGATGGATTGAGTTTTCCTGAGTATGTGTGTTACGTGGCAGGTGCTTGCTGAGTGTTCACGGATGTTACTTGGTATACCTTTCTAGTACTTTGCCATTACTTTGTAAATGGAGCCCATCAACATTTGCTACACCAAAGCCCAAAATTTAATTTTTAAAAAACATATAGAAACAGGGTCTCACTTTGTTGCCCAAGCTTGAACTCTTGGGCTCAAGCAATCCTCCCACCTCGGCCTCCCAAGTAAATGGATTACAAAGCGCAAGCCTCAGCATCTGGCTAAAGTTTAAATTTTTAAAAAAACTACCCAGTGACTTGCAGTGGACAGTTGTGATGGGGACACATTTATACTAAATGTAACATTGGCTAGTGGCAGCTCATGAAAGGCTCTTGAATTAACTTTAGAGGAAAATGCAGTAAGATGAGGATCGCTTTACTGAGAAAAAGACTTAAAAACTCCAAACACGGCCGGGCTCAGTGGCTCAGCCTGTAATCCCGCGCCTTTGGGAGGCTGAGGGGAGTGG